CAGTAAGTGCGTATTTCAGTTGTTAGAGATGCCAAAGCCAACAGTCACCACCAGAAATTCAGTGTGTCGTTGATGGAAGTAGTCGGGCACGAAAAGTTGGTGACTTATTAGAATATTATAATTATTAGTAGAATTATTACACAAGGTATTTCACCAGCTCGTACGTAACCGTCTACCGGCCATATTCAATGTCACGACACAACCCCTGCACAAATGTAATGTAAGTGGGACACATATTCGATTCTCTACGCAACTCTTGAGGATAAAGATGGAAATTAAAAGAAAAACATCGCAAATGAAATGTAGATATTTCCAGTTTTGTTTATTTTGTACGTATTTTAGACCAGTGGATACATTGTAGAATTTTATAGAGCAACGGGTGTTGTTAAAGTTATTTGCTTAGCATTTGAAAACAGGACGTTGCAGAACCAACCCCAGCATTATTTTCGCTGTTGTGGGTTGTTTTTTTCTAGGCAAAGTTTACGTTCAGTAGTTTGCCATTGGACTGAATGGTCAGTTCTGTGTACCACTGTCGAAACCAGCGCAAGACACATCGTCCGCAACTGGAATCAAACCCGGCACCCCAGCATTACGAATCGAGTTCGCAACGCCTAAGGAACAGAACGTTATTAAAGATATTTAAAAAAAAAACAGTGTCACACTACAACCTGTGAAACAGAAACCTTTGAAGAAATCATATGTAGGAAATGAGCTAATAAGAATATGTATAAATCGGCAAGGAGATTATGAAATTTGCGGGTTTTAGTTTCTCAGCTTGGAGTCTCTCTCTCTCTCTCTCTCTCTCTCTCTCTCTCTCTCTCTCTCTCTCTCTCTCTCTCTCTCTCTCTCTCTCTCTCTCTCTCTCTCTCTCTCTTTCTCTCTGTCTCTCTCTCTCTCTCTGTGTATGTCTCTCTCTCTGTCTATATATATATATATATATATATATATATATATATATATATATATATATATATATATATATGTGTGTGTGTGTGTGTGTGTGTGTATACATATACATATATATATTTATATCTTGGTATGTTTATGTATTTCTCTTACTCTGTCTCTGCCTGTAGGTCTTTAACTGACTATCTCACTTACCCTCTCCATCTTTATTCACTGGTACTAGCTGAATTGAAATTCTTCGCTTGCTGCTGAAGACGGGGAAGTTAAGTTTATGGGGGGAGTACATCGAGTGCCTTGATGTCGATTCTTAATTCAACATTCAACGTTCCCTCCGTATTCTCTCTGTATGAGGGAGATCATAACGGCAGATCCCCGTGTGGGATCCGGAGTCATATTGTGGGGGGGGGGGGTGTCAAGAATAGACCCACCGCCTACCAGAAAGCATGTCGTAGGAGTCGACTAATTGGTAGCTTCATTTGAAGTCGGAGTGCATCTGCCTGAGAGGCAAGGAACCAACAGTCTGCATTCAAGTGAATCAGATCTGTAAAACTGATGCACACGCAACACTCAGGTTCTGGAACAAGACTGCAGTCCAGGTGTGGACGAACAACCAGAACTTTCCGCCAGAGTGTACAACTGGTGAACGCGAAGAAGAAGAAGATAAGGGCAGAAAGTTAGGTTGGCCTGCGTCTCCTTTTCTGAACCGTTTAAAAAAAAATGTTTGTTCGTTCATTCGTTTGTTCTCTCGATCTCTGTAATTCTTATTTTGTATCTCTGATTATGTCTCTTTCTTTCCCAATCACTCCCTTATTTCTCTCTCTCTCTCTCTCTCTCTCTCTCTCTCTCTCTCTCTCTCTCTCTCTCTCTCTCTCTCTCTCTTTCTGTTTATTTGTCTGTCCTTTTCTTCCTTTCTTTCTCTAACATTATTTGTTTCCATCAGTGTATTCCTTCTCTATTTATCTAATCTATCTATCTATCTATCTATCTATCTATCTATCTATCTATCTATCTATCTATCTATCTATCTATCTATCTATCTATCTATCTATCTATCTATCTATCTATCTATCTATCTATCTATCTATCTATCTATCTATCTATCTATCTATCTATCTATCTATCTCTATCTATCTATCTATCTATCTATCTATCTATCTATCTATCTATCTATCTATCTATCTATCTATCTATCTATCTATCTATCTATCTATCTATCTATCTATCTATCTATCTATCTATCTATCTATCTATCTTTCTCTTTGTGTTGTGTATGTGTGTGTGTGTGCATGTATGATTCGAATTTTCGCAGGTAATAGTTTGCCATTGACTGCTATTTAACCGTGACTATTATTTTCCCCTAGGTAAGTGTTTTACCTTGATCTATTATTTTCCCTCAAATAAAAATTTCACTCTGACTTTTACTTTCCACAGGTAAGAGTTTTACCTTGACCATAGCTGTCTTCACAAACCCGCCACAGATTGCCCTCTGCCAGAAAGCTATCAAGGTCACAGTTGACGGTCCACGAGAGCCACGTTGCAAAACCAGTGAGTCGATTGTTTAATCATCCTTACCTTTTTTACTGTCTGTCTGCCACTTACAAGCCCTACCTACGTTTATGTATCTTTCTATCTGCATCTTCTTTATGATATTGCTGATACATTAAGGAAGAGCGGCTGGCAGAACGGTTGGAAGAGTAAGCTCTCAAGCGGGAGACACAGGTTCGAATCCTCGGTAAGACTGGATTTTTTTTTCTGTCAGGGCCAAATAAAATCCTCACCTACACAGTCGTGGCGACAGCATTAGCCATGCGGCCATAAATCCTCAGACTAAAAGACTCCCCCTCCCCTCCCCCCCCCCCCCCCCCCCCCCCGCCTAGACCACCCAAGTGGTAAAAGGCAGTTATTGACAGTTTACTGACTGACAAATGCGTGCTCCGCTGCTGTCGGTCTGAGCTTGTCTACCCATGGTACCCTATATCATTTTATATTCTTTATCATACTTAGGAGCCATGATTGGCACAGCAAGGCATGAGAGACACACCGAACGTAAAAGTTGTCATGTTAACCACCACAGGACTGACACTGTTTATCGCTTGACTGCTGATGCCTATACTTTTGCGGTGTAGGCGGGAAGGAAGGGGGGAGAGGGGTTGAGCCTGAAGATTTAGAGGGACGAAGGGGAAGAAATCAAAACAAGAGTTTTTACGTCAAGTTCTCGTTAAAGAGAGCAGCCGGGAGGCATGATCGCCCATGCCAGTCGGCAAACCAGTTGATGGGGACGATGATGCATACTTTGTCTCTAGTTTGTCTGTGTGTACTTATACCATCACGTGATTGTTTTATCCTCTGTCGTTACCAACCCTGTTCTGATAGCCCCTACCTACCTACTTATTTATCTATCTATCTATCTATCTATCTATCTATCTATCTATCTATCTATCTATCTATCTATCTATCTATCTATCTATCTATCTATCTATCTATCTATCTATCTATCTATCTATCTATCTATCTATCTATCTATCTATCTATCTATCTATCTATCTATCTATCTATCTATCTATCTATCTGTCTGTCTGTCTGTCTGTCTGTCTGTCTGTCTGTCTGTCTGTCTGTCTGTCTGTCTGTCTGTCTGTCTGTCTGTCTGTCTGTCTGTCTGTCTGTCTGTCTGTCTGTCTGTCTGTCTGTCTGTCGGTCTGTCTGTCTGTCGGTCGGTCGGTCGGTCGGTCGGTCGGTCTGTCTGTCTGTCTGTCGGTCGGTCGGTCGGTCGGTCTCTCTATCTATCTATCTATCTATCTATCTATCTATCTATCTATCTATCTATCTATCTATCTATCTATCTATCTATCTATCTATCTATCTATCTATCTATCTATCTATCTATCTATCTATCTATCTATCTATCTATCTATCTATCTATCTATCTATCTATCTATCTATCTATCTATCTATCTATCTATCTATCTATCTATCTATCTATCTATCTATCTATCTATCTATCTATCTATCTATCTGTCTGTCTGTCTGTCTGTCTGTCTGTCTGTCTGTCTGTCTGTCTATCTATCTATCTATCTATCTATCTATCTATCTATCTATCTATCTATCTATCTATCTATCTATCTATCTATCTATCTATCTATCTATCTATCTATCTATCTATCTATCTATCTATCTATCTACCTACCTACCTACCTACATGTCTGTCTGTCTGTCTGTCTGTCTGTCTGTCTGTCTGTCTGTCTGTCTGTCTGTCTGTCTGTCTGTCTGTCTGTCTGTCTGTCTGTCTGTCTGTCTGTCTGTCTGTCTGTCTGTCTGTCTGTCTGTCTGTCTGTCTGTCTGTCTGTCTGTCTTTCTGTCTGTCTTTCTGTCTGTCTTTCTGTCTGTCGGTTTTTCTATACGTCCACCCATCTGTTTGTCTGTCTTCTATTTATCTGCCTCTCTCTCTCTCTCTCTCTCTCTCTCTCTCTGTATACCTATATATATATGTGTGGGTGTGTGTGTGTGTGTGTGTGCGTGTCCCTCTCTTTCTGCCATCTCCTTTACCCGACCGCATGCCCGACCGCCTGTATATCCGTTAATTTGACCTTCCAGTGTGCACTGTTTTCTGTTAGCTTTACATTAAGCCTCTATTCATGTATACAATTCAGCTATCACAGTTGATCACTGCTCTTTATGTTACTTATTTAAAAGCAAAATAAATCGATTTTTTTCCTGTGTCAGAACTTGGCGCGGATGACCATGGCATTCTAGAGCACCATAGACCGAGTCCTCTTGATGTTAGCCTGGAATATGCACCTCTGCCAGATCCCTTAAGAGAACGTCAGCTATCCCATCTGGGAGAGCTCGACCGTTTGAGGCAGCATACCGTCTCCTCCACCAGTGGAGAGTATCGAAGGCAGCTGTCAGAGCTAAATCAGCATTTTGTGGAGAGTGGTCAACAGCACTTGCAACAGGACAACAGTCGGCAGCTGGTTTCCAAGACAACTGTTGATAGAATGGGGTCTTTGATGCTTGTAGGAAACAGACGACAATCTCCACCACTAGGTAAATACCACCTTTTATTTTATTTGTGGCGTTTGCCGGTTGCAAACTCAAGCCCAAATTCCTGGTTGATCTTCCACTTCTCGACTTTGGTCTTGTTCCATGACTTGAACGTTTCGTACACATCCGTTTTACGGGTTATTTTTGCCCTGACGGTTGGTTCGTTGCCTCTCAGATGCAGGACTGAGAAGGAAATGGTGATCCTATCTACGTTAGCCAGCCTGTAGGAAACCTTTTTCTATGATGACAGCGGAGAGATTTGGATAGGTGGTGGCCAGTATGATTCCCACGAGACCTTGTACCGCTACATAACATGTGCCGAAATGCTATCTACATGTTCTCGAATTTCTGCTTCTGTCGTGCGAATTTTGTGAGGCAGAAGGAAATTGAACAAATCAACTAAATCTCATACATATTTATGCTCCCACCCAGGCAGCTGCAAACGCATCAGTCAGCGTTAGTTTTCTCATCTAGCGTTCTTTAATCTGATTATTTTATCCTGTCGACAGAAGTGGCATTATTTTCATCATCATAACCATCTTCACTTCAACGCCTTCAGACGTGACGGACATATAGTGCCCACATATAGTGCCCATAATTTTATAAACCACATTGCTTAATGGGTACTGGTGCTAGTTCCATCCACAAACCACCCCCTCCACCCACCCCTTTTCTTTTAAACAGTCGACACTCAGTGATATGGTTAATATACTCTGTTAGCATCAGGCTCTCCAACATTTTTTTCTACATATGTTAAGCTGAGAAAACCTATTATTTAAGAGTTTCAAATTTTCTTCTTCTTCTTCTCCTCCACCTTGTACCTTGTCGAAGTGTCGGGGAAAGATGTAATGTTCGTTGATGAGCTCTGCCAAAAGCACTATTTAGACTGATGTTCATTTCTGTAAGGCTGTTCTTAATGCCATCACTCCATATTTTCTAAGGTCTTCCACTCGCTTTATACCCGTTGTAACGTTTTAGCGTGGCTCGCTGTGGCAGATTGTACCAGGGCATTCTAGTTAGGTGTCCAAACCACTTTATTTGTTGTTCTTTGATTACCTGTAAGACTGGCTTTATTCCTAGCATTCGTCTGATTTCATGATTTCGTATTCTTTCTTTCCTTTAAACTCCTGCAGCTCTCCTAAGGCATTTCATCTCTGTTGTCACAATTTTACGTTTATTAGAGAATGCAAATGTCCACGTTTGGCACTGATAGCATAATGTTAGCCACAAACAAGTTCTGATAAGATGCACTTTAGTACTCCGGGGTATCTGCTTGTGTGTCAACAGGGGAGATAGTTGCCATATTACTTGATTAGCTTTGGCACATCTGGAGCTAATGTCTCTGTCCAGTTTTGCATCGGATGTGAAAATTGCTCCCAGATACTTGAATTCCTCTGTTTATCTTAAGGTGCTGTTTTTAATTTTATTTCTAAACTGTATTTCTGTCTGCGTATCACCATTGTCTCTGTCTTTGTAGTGTTTTTTTTTTTTTTTTTTTTTTTTTTTTTAATGAAGAGTTTCACAGTTCCAACAAATAAACAGTTAACAAACATCCAGAAGAAATAAAAATATTTCACTCTTTAAACACAGATCAAAGGTCATGGGACCTAGAAGTGACGCACCACGGGGAAGACAGTAGAAGTCGCTCATTCGGCAACTCGTCAACAGAGGACATGTTCTACCGGGGTAAGATAACATGTCATTACCTGGTTGAGTTAGGCTTAGTTGTGTAGAGGAGTTGCATTGAGTTAATAACTGATATTACAGCACTTAGGATATTCCCATGAGTGTTCCGTCCCTATCTTCAGCAACTAGCGCAGATTTTCAATTCCGGTGTCACTTGGATCGGTCTGACTAGATGCAACTGATTGTTAATATTGCACATTAACTAACTTCCCTGTGTGCAGTTACCTTTATATTCGTTCCAGGTCATGCGGGCGTTGTTTGTAATGAAAGAGCTGATAGACTGGAGGTGCTGAATTAACTGGAGATGGCCGGCCCATGGATAACACAGACATTGTCATTGTCCATAGAGAGAAAGGACGTTCTGAGGATTTTGGAAGCAACGTGTCCACATCACTGCTAAGAATATGACAATTGGAAGTAAAGATCAGCACAGCCAAGCATGAGAAGCACACCAGACGCACACGAAGTCTTTTTAACCAACATAAGACTGGCACTGTTTACTAGGGCTGTACCGAATAGTGATTTTTACTATTCGGCCGATTACGAATACGAATAGTGTATAGTGTATAAAATATATCTTAAAAAAAATTTTTTTTTAAAAGCACACACACACATTCATAATGTCAAATCTACGCTGAACTTTTACTTCACAAAAATTATCACAGAATAGTCATCTTTTTCTTTAGCATTCTGATCTGAGCCCTTGAGGTTTACTGCTGCAGATATCACTCGTCTCCATTCATCTGTCTGGCTGGCCTTATCTTCACAATTTGTGACACCAGTTGTTTGCAGGTCTGGCTGGACATTATCTCTCGAAATTCTTTTTTTTTTTTTTTGTCTGCCTCGTGGTCTTACGCCCATTCCTCTCTCAGGTGTATACAGTTTTTACTTCTCTGTCATCGGACATTCTTGCAATATGACCCAACAATTTTAGTCTGTTAGCTCTCATGATGCCAGTGATCAATGGTGATTTAAACAGATTAGGTGTTACGTTGTTGCTTCTCACTCTCCATTCCCTGCTTTTAGCATCTTTGATGGGTCCAAAGATTTGTCGTAAGACTGTTTTCGAAAACCTGTAATAAGGCCGCAACTCTTTTATTTCTGCTTTAAGTTTCAGAGCTATATAAAACGACTGGTATTATCAACGTTTTATATATTTTTATCTTTGTGTTGCGAGACAGACACTTTGACTTCAGCAGATGTTGAAGGGCATAGTATACTTTATTTCTAGATTGTATTCTAGATTTTATTTCTTCTCTCAGCATGTTGGAGCAGTTGAAATTTGCACCCAAGTACTTATATGTTTCCGTTCGTTTTATTTTGATATTATCGACTTGGATGTGGCCGGAGTTTATATTCTTTCCATGTCTAGTTAGTATTCCTACAGAATGGTTAAAAATTTAAAAACATTTTATGTTCTGCGTCCTTCAGTCAGTCTGTGGTAACTAATAACTAGGAATGAAAGAATCCTAAGAATTATAACAAGTAACTAAACTTGGAAATTGTCACTGACAGCTTAGTTAATGCAATAAACTGCATTAGCTTTGAACAAAACCAATCGCTCCATGCTGTCAGCATTAAGACAGAGTATGTAGAATCGGGGGTAGGATAACTACTATTCGTATTCGGCCGACCACCGAATAGTCAATAGGTCGACTATTCGGCCCCGAAGCGAATACGAAGCGAATATTCGGAACAGCCCCTCTGTTAACCCCGCGACGCTGATAAATATGTTAAGAGGGGAATCTGGGCGCCTAGGGATGCGTCCGGAGTGCTGTGAAGATAATCTAACTCATAACTCAGTACTCCCCCGTGTGGGTTCCGGGGCCCTATTATAGGGAAAACAAGAATAGACCCACTGCCTAACCAATAACATGTCGTAAGAGTCGACTAATTGGGAGCTTCCTTCGAAGTTGAAGTGCATCTTCCTGAGAGGCAAGGAACCAACAGTCTGCACACAAATGTGTCAGATTTGTCAAACGGATGCACACGCAACACTCAGGTTCTGGAACAGGACTGTAGTCCACAAGTGGACGAACAACCAGAACTTTCCAACAGAGTTTACAGCTGGTGAACGCAAAGAAGAAAAAGGAAGATAACTCAGTATTGTCATCAGATAAGGATAATCTGACTTTCATGAATTCAGTGACTTGTTGTGCCATTATTTGTCACATAGGGCTCGCAATCTTTTGCTTCACTACGTTCTACCCTGTCCAATCACTTCAATAACATGGATGGAATTTATCTAGCGCCCTTGGCTTCTCTTATCAACGTTCGCCATACGGTTTCTCGTTGACCTATCCGTGTCTTCAGTACCCTTGTTTCTCATCTGAGTGTCAGTTTAATGATTCTCAGTTCGTCTCTTCTTAGAATGAGTGTACTATATCGCCTTCTTCCCCGTCTTATTACTTCTGATTCAAGTGGTTGCCCATATTTTTCTAATATTTTTTCTCACCCTTATTAAACTCATAATCCAACTATAGTGTGCGAACTCATTACAACAGGAAGTATCCAAAAACTGCACACCATAACCATACGTCATTAATATCCTTTTATGAGTCAATGCTCTTCTTCAATCCGGAATTTCAAAACCAGAAATAAATAACAGCGACGAAACTCACCATGCAGATTGTAAGAGAGACCACTAAGTGAGGTAGTAGTGAGCTGGCCACCTCATCCCATTAAGAGTTTAGGTTGAAAAATCAAATATATCATGAACGTGTCTACAAAGGAGGTAAGGGCTGACATCATGGCGCTCCGGGAATTTCCAGACGCTCCAAACCCATCTTTAGCATCTAGCGCCGAATGATACCTAGTATATTTTGCCTTTCCCCAGTGTTGAATGCCATCTAGTCTACTGCTCACTCGCCGCTGCATAATTATCTCCAGACCGGGACGGTCAATTTGTGTCGCTGCCTACAACGAATTTAGTATAAACTGGATAATGACATCTTAGTCTTCGTCGAGGTTTCACCATCATAGCAATCAGGTCACCCCCATATTCAGTCCGTTCCTGTGCCAGTGAAAATCAAAATAATGTCGAACACTATCCAGTTTCACCATGTGGCTATTCCAGCCAACCTGTTTGTCTGATCCTTCCCAGAAAAGTCACAAAAACCTTCATAAATTATCCATCTGACCCTCGCAATCTACTACCTCTGGAATGATTACTGTTTACTAATGACATGCAAATTTCTTTTCAGGTGCATCCAGAAATCTTCACGAGCGTGACAGAAGGACTGCCATTCCGTTGACACTTTCTTGTAACCAACAGCGTCTTCTGTTACGACAAGCAGGGGTACACTACGATCATCATCCACTCGACAGTCCTCAGAATAAGAGACATGCATCATCTGTCTTGTTAGATCATTCAAGATCTTCCATACTGATGTCCGGTTTAGATAGACAAGCTCTGGCTACATCTGGTACAGAACCACAGAATATCATTCATGATTCTGCGAGACCCGTGACACCAGATCCGCGGAACATACCGCTATACAACTCTAGATTCTTCAACGAGGAATTACACGCTTCTCAGAACGGACGGCTATCGTTCCCTTTCAGTTCTAGATTAGAACCCAGTGGACACTACGCTGATACTCAGAAACCACCCTCAGTGCCTGCAGTACACATGAGTTTAGATACTTTGAAGTCAAGGCTGCCTCTCTTGCCTCATTATTCTTTCAGCGCTGACGCTGCACTACGAGTTCCCAGTCTGCAAGAGACAATTCTAGCTGGCAGCAACGGTTTGGGGATGCCATCTTATTCTGTTCTACAGCCAACAAGTACCGACTGTCTTACTATATTAGATGAAAGTCATTATATAGCCAGGCCTTATCTTGCAGACAGTAGATTACTGCGAGGTAATGAGCGCGACAATTCCGTTGAAGTTTGCCCATATCCTCTCCCATTGCAAGTACCTGAAGTCACGTCCAGAGAAACTGACAGATACATCAGGAACAGCTCAGAGAATCAAGGAAGCGATAGACATTCGGCTCTGTTGAGGTTACACCTGCCTTGTCATCATAGAGAACGGGAGACAAGCTCTGAAGATATCGCAATAAACTTGTCCAAGTCTGCAGGTACTGAGGCTAACAGGAAAGAAAAAGAAAGGGATGCCAAGAGCTTTCAGCAGGTGAACATCGATATCCGCCAGAACACCGCACAACTGTCTGCTCGTGAGAACATAACCCTGCATCCTGAAGAGATGGAAGAACGAATGTTCTTACATCCCAGATCCCCTTCTCCTGACCACATCTCGTGTCCAGCCCTGCCTTCTGCCACGTATCTTAAATCAGTAGCAACACCAGGTGCCGTACCTATCCCCGCTGCCTCACTGAATCTCTCACCAACAAATCCACCAAGTTCATTTCTATATCCTACAATGTTTGCACACAACTCTTCGAATGTTTTAATCCCAGCCAGAGATAAAGCATACGAGATTCTTTCAGAAGCTAATTCATACGAAGACAAATGTTATACCATCTGTAATCCGTCAAGAGCATCTGCAGATGACAAATACTTCAAGAGAAGACTGTCTGTCTCTCGAAGTCTGGAAGAAAAGTCTTATCTGGCTCTGAAGCCCGTGCGACAAGCTAGCGATGAAGTGTGTGACAGGCAACGATTTGGCGACAGGCTACATAGTCAATACCAGCACCTGAAGAACGCAGAAACTACTAACAGTCGACGTCTGGAAAAACATCTTCCGATATCTTTGCCGAGTTGGCATGTTTTTGACCGTAAGATAGTTGACCTAGACATGGCCGATATGTCTCTGCGATCAGATGTCATTCATTATCCAATTGCAGCATCTGTGTCGTCTGCATCGTCGCATGGATGCAGATCTGATTCTTCAAGATCACCGTTGAGCAGGAGAAGCAGCGAAGAGCACTATGAAAACATCAGTGTTTGGAGACCATACTGATATTTCTTCACATCTCTAAAGGTACATGATGGCAATGACCTCCCCGGGTCAATATTATTTGGAGACAATAGAGACATCTTCATATCATTGTATCGGTGCTGGAAGACGAGAATAAGATCTCTTTCTACCAATGTAGAAATATTTGGAGGCCACACTGAGATCTCTTCCTGCCAAAGAAGCAGTTTTTGAAAGCTACATTCAGATCCTATTTATCCACCAAATGTAACATAAAGGCTTTTCCGTACCAGTTTAATTTTTGTGTCAGTTTGATATTATGTTATCACAGTATTCGTTGTAGACTATACTGATGTGCTGTTATTATTGCCCCCCCCCCTTACACACACTCCATATGTTGCTTGATCGAGGGTTTAATGTAAGTCTTATAAAAGATCACACCATATTCAACTTTCCATGGATCTACAATGCCATTTTGCTATAGCATTTGAAGGAAACTTCTTCTCCACGTTCACCAGATGTCAACTCAGGCACAAAGCTATGGTCGCTCGTCTACTTTCGGAATGTGGTTTGTTCAAGAACTTGCATTTTGCGTGCCCATTCATTTTACAGATCTGGCTAGTTTGTATGCAGATTATTGGTTCCTCGCTACTGAGCTTTCTATTTCTTTCTATTTCTATTTCGCTACTATTTCTGTGAAATAGCAAATCTAACAGCAGCAAGCTCCTTATTTCCGCATAAAGACATACATAAAATAACCTGGATTTCGCCAGATAACATAACAAAAAACCAGATAGATCATTTTTGCATCAGCGCCAAATTCCGTACATCAGTGCAAGACGTTAGAGCCTACAGGGGAGCTGATATTGGCAGTGATCATAATCTTTGTATTGCCAAACTAAAAATTAAACTCAAGTCTCTACTTAAACCACCCAGAAATAAGAAAATAAACTTACAAGCCCTTTTGTCAAAAGATCATCAAAGCGCATTTAATGCAGAGATACTCACCACCTATGTAACCAAAACTAGTAATGCGGATACTACAAATAACATAGACAAAAATTGGGACTTTTTCAAGAACACACTGACGAACGCTGCAGTAAACACAGTTGGTTATGTACAAAAGCAGAAGAAGAAGTGGCTAAGCGACAACACTTGGTCAAAAATCCAAGAAAGGAAACAAGCAAAATTAACACTTTTATCCAAAAAAAGACACATCTTCATACGAAAAATACAGCACGCTAGACAAAGAAGTGAAATCAAATGCAAGGAAAGACAAACAGAACTTCATACACGACCTCGCCTCCGATGCTGAAACAGCTGCCAAGATTGGAAACAACAAAGCCGTATTCCATATTATGAAACAACTGTGCAATCACTCACCTACACTAAATACACCCATTAAAGACAAGCAGGGTAAACTACTGCTATCCGACGACCAACAAACAAAGCGATGGGCAGAACATTTCAAGGAAATATTAAATAGGCCAAATCCTGACATCATTGCCAATTTAGAAGAAGAAATTATTACACCAACACTATTTGCCTCCAGCGAGTCATTCACAATAGAGGAGATTAAAACAGCTATTAAAAAATTAAGAATAAACAAAGCTACCGGAGAGGACAACATCTCAGGGGAAATGCTCAAAGCAGCGGATGAAAACACCCTGCAACATTTGCTCCAGCTGATGGATGAAGTCTGGCAAAACGAATACCCACCACAACAATGGAAAGATGGTGTAATCTTCAAATTACCTAAAAAAGGTGATTTATCCGATTGTAACAACTGGAGAGGCATCACCCTGCTTTTGATACCAGGGAAACTATTTTGTAGTATGCTACTAGAAAGATTGAAAAAATCCATAGATGAAAGATTAAGGGAAGAACAAGCCGGTTTTAGATCCAAGCGGTCATGCATAGACCACATCTTTACTCTTAGAATAATTGTTGAAGATTCTACAGAATTCCAGTCGAAATTATTGATCAACTTTGTCGACTTTCAAAAAGCCTTCGACAGTATCCATCGTCCAACACTCTGGAAATTGCTTAACATCTATGGTTTCCCCATCAAATATATCAACATCATAAAATCTTTTTATAATGAAACACGATGCTGTGTAAGAACTGATTCCGGCAATTCTGACTGGTTCCCGGTGGAAACAGGAGTGAAGCAAGGCTGTGTCCTATCGCCGATGCTTTTTGGTATAGAAATCGACTGGGTCATGCGCAAGTGCATAAATAACGCAAATTTAGGCATTACATGGGTTGACAAAATTCTGGAAGACCTAGACTTCGCCGACGACATAGCACTCCTGAGTTCAGAACACACAGACGCCCAAGAAAAAATCAATCGACTCCAGAATTTCTCAGAACAAATTGGACTCCAAATTAACACCGCAAAAAAAAAAAAATTCTAGACCTTACCAACAGTTCAGTTGATATCACGCTGAACAACAACAGCCTTGAAAAAGTCAACAGTATCACTTATCTAGGGAGCAAGATGTCATCTACAGGAGATACCGCACCAGAAATATCATTTAGAATAGCACTGGCATCTAGTGCCTTCAATAAACTGTCTAACATCTGGAAATCAAAGACACTTAGCAAACACACAAAACTCAAGATCTTCAATTCTTGTGTGATTCCAGTACTAACCTATGGATGCGAGAGTTGGAAATCAACGAAAACTTTAGACACAAAATTAGACAGTTTTGAAAATAAATGCCTTAGAAGAATACTAAATTTCAAATGGTCAGATTTCCGAACCAATACACAAATAAGGCAAGAATCCAGGCAAGAGTATGTGTCTAATTTTATACGAAAACGCCGCTGGAACTATGTCGGCCACGTCCTTAGAATGGATAAATCAAGACTTCCTTACCAAGCCCTCATTTGGACACCACAGGGGAAAAGATCTCGTGGAAGACCAAGGGAAACCCTACGTAGAACTATCATCAGGGAAGGCTCGCTCATGGGCCACTCAAACATCCAAGACCTACAACGGATTGCAACGGACCGCCGTGCATGGAGAGTCACGACCTCTGCCCTATGTGCCGCACTCGACACAAGAGGAAAGACTAACTAACTAACTAACTAAGCTACTGAGCCAGATGTACTCTGGCTTCGAAAGAAACACATAAAAAGGCAACTTTTATGACGTTTTTTTTGTGTGGAAAGTTGGGCAGTATTTTCTACTTATTTATTTCATTAGCTCATCTTGTTCCATTGCTAGGACATTCTAGTTAAACCTTCAAATCTTCTTAGCGTGCGTTCTATCCAATACCAGTATGTTTTCTTTACCTCTTGATTCAGTACATCTAGGTAAATATTCTCTTTCTACCAAATCTTGATTCTGTATATCTAGGTAAACATTCTCTTTCTACCAAATCTTGATTCAGTACATCTAGGTAAATATTCTCTTTATACCAAATCTTGATTCAGTACATCTAGGTAAATATTCTCTTTATACCAAATCTTGATTCAGTACATCTAGATAAATATTCTCTTTATACCAAATCTTGATTCAGTACATCTAGGTAAATATTCTCTTTCTACCAAATCTTGATTCAGTACATCTAGGTAAATATTCTCTTTATACCAAATCTTGATTCAGTACATCTAGGTAAATATTCTCTATATACCAAATCTTGATTCAGTACATCTAGGTAAATATTCTCTTTATACCAAATCGTGATTCAGTACATCTAGGTAAATATTCTCTTTATACCAAATCTTGATTCAGTACATCTAGGTAAATATTCTCTTTATACCAAATCTTGATTCAGTACATCTAGGTAAATATTCTCTTTCTACCAAATCTTGATTCAGTACATCTAGGTAAATATTCTCTTTATACCAAATCTTGATTCAGTATATCTAGGTAAACATTCTCTTTCTACCAAATCTTGATTCAGTAAAATTTGTTAGGTTTCCTTTCAAAGCTCTCCATTAATGATTTTAGTAAACAAACTAATTCCCTCTATTCTGAGGGAGCATTTGTTTCTGAATGTTTGTAATTTTTCAAAAATACTTCCCAATTGTTCTACACAATAATGTAGCATTTATTTTTGTATAATAAAATATGTTTATAGTAAGCTTCAATTTTGTTTAACATACACGGATTTTCTAGGAGCTATGAAAACCCATCTTGCCTTTTCAGTTCTCATGTGTCTGTTTCTGCCGTCGTTTTTATATAAACTGCTGTTTAAATAGGTGCACGACTCTCCACTCTTGAAGTGGACTTCCACGGAAGGTAGGGTTAATGTTAGCATAGTTCTTCTTTTAATCGTTGAACACATTTTCCAGCAAGTAAGATTACTTCTTTCAACCCCAGATGGTTTCAAAGTAGAAACCTAGTCTGGCACAATAATCACAGTGAAAAACGCAGCAGTATATACATTTCAACGATGTAGCATGTACTGTGTTGTATCACTGCCGGACTCCAGCTGTAACATTATAGAGAAGGAGTTGGTTGCATTCAGAATATCTGGCCAGATTTCTTGCCCACACCCAGATCAAACATAGAATAAATAATAAAACCACCATATTTTGCGTTGATGCACATAGACATAAGCTGAGAACACATGGTGCGTTGTTTTGGGACAGATAGAGTTAAATATTAAATCAGGTGAGCATGAAAACATGAGAAATAACAGTGAGTGATAACTATTCTTGTTATAAATAAAACTTCCAGCTGGTTGCATCAATGAGACACGTCTGTATATTTGATACTGGTTAGTTTTGTACAGTGGGATTGAGATGACGTTTCTTATAAACATAATTCAAGCTGACTGCACGAATGAGACACATCTAAGTACATTTGACACTGGTTACTTTTGTAAGAAAATGAGTTTGATTATCGTCAGAGTTTTTTTGTGGGTGTGTTGTTCAGTACTAAAGTTTCTGTTCTTTTGCAGTAGTAATCAGTTTTGTGGACTATGAACATTGTCGTTGAGTTGTTTTTGATACATTTTTTTCTTCTTTTGTTTTATCTCGCATTAAATGAACCTTCATTATGGCTCCCAAGAAGTGGAAAGTCTTGGTGA